AGATTTGGATTCAGTACCAAGAAACGATGTGTTTTACTCAGGTGGTAAAAAAAAGCAAAATTTGTACAAATAATTAGAAAAGAAAAAAAGAAATACTTAACTTACTTACGTACTAGCATTTTCAACGCGAATAGAATTTAACAAGGTGGGTTTGCAACTACAGCTTTTTATCAATCATGGTTGTGTTTTAGTCCATTTAAATTTGTAGATTCTTGTAAATTCAGTGCTGCCACAGCCTTAAATATTTCAAATTATTTCAGGCTTTAACTATGTATCTCGAAGTAATTTTAGTTCAGAAAAAAACACTAAAAAAGGCACTAGGCACTAAATAAATTTTTTTGGCGTTTTAATTTTCAAAAAGCACTAAATCTAGTGCTTAAAGCACCAAGTTGGCAACTATGTTCAAACGTTATTGGCACACTAACACAATCACGCTTTCAGCTCGCATTTACTTGTGGTAGTGATCACATCTGCTCATATACACTCCTCGTCATTTGAATTGCACACCCTTTCAATTCTTAGTATTTACAGTTTTCCGTTTGTTTATTTAATATAAATTTTTTGTAAAAATATCGTCACTACATACGGATAAAGGCGCGCTGGTGTTTTGACGGTGAAAAAAAGCGTTTAAAAAAATTTTGCGAAAAAAGATGCTTATAAAAAAATTTGGCGAAGTATGTTAAGAGTATTTGACGCTGAAATTTTTTTATGCGTCTTTTTTCGCCGTCAACTTTTGAGCTCGCGCCTTTATTCGCGTCTAGTGACGATATAGCATATTCTACGGGAAAATGCAATTTTAAAATTTTTTACAAACTAAAACTTAAAAGAAAAATTATTTTCCATTTCTTGGGCAGCATTTTATATGATTTTTTCGTTTTTCTCGAGAGCTGGAAACAGTTCTTAAAAAAGGTCAACATAGGAGTGTGCCATCCTAATGACCTGCAGTGAATAAGTTAATAATATTTTTAGAACAATTTCTGATATGCAGTTTTGTAGCCCATTCAATTATAGTGTAATTAAGTGCAAGTTTGAAGTGACTCTAAAACAGCCCCGATTTTTCAAATTCATTTATTTTTTATTGACAGTGCGGCGCTTTTTATTCCATATAAAAGTTTTGTCGGGCATACTTTGTATGAGAGAAAATGCGCAGCACTATCACCAAAAAAATTGTCAAAAATCACCGCTATTTTACAGGCACTTGAAACTTGCACTTTATTGTACCCCTTTGTTGACATTTTTTTAACTCTGTATAAAGTTTTAAAATCGGATGTAATGAATATTAAATAAACAAAATTAAAAATGTAAATACTAAAGATTAAAAAGTTGAGCTATTCAAAAGACGAGGAGTGTAAGTGGCGTACGTTTGGGAGAGTGAGCCTTTTTACTCCAGAATGCGTGTGCAGTGGCTCTCATTGCTATACGTGTATTAGTAAGATTTGTTGCCCTCTTCCGGTTTGCCCATGATTTTCCCCTAATCAAGCCCGCGAAATGGGCTCGCTTGCCCATACGGGCCAAAAAGCCCATACGGGCAAAAGTGCCCATGTCTGGTTTAAGCGACTTATGCATTTCCCGTATAAACAAAGAACAGCGAACACACACACGCCCTTGTATTGCACTCCCGCCCAAAACCAAGTGCAGCGAATA